TCTTGCATGAGGGGTGGGAGTTTATGTATTGGACAGGGACGTGAAAAGTGGTTGGAAGTCCTTTTGACAAGGGAGATGCGCGTCTTCCAACACTCTGTTCTCTTGTAGCTAGTTCTATGATCCGTTAATAAAGAGCAGGAGAGGAAAAAGAATGCAGTGGGCCAGCTTTGAGTTGCTTGGGGGCGCCCTTTCTATGGTGAAGAGGACTGTTAACAAGAAGCAAAAGGGCACCCCATGTGCGGTGGGAGTTCATGGGGAGGAGAAGCATTGCGGGGGAGGATGTGATAGGAAAAGAGGCGGTCACCAGAAAAGCGAGAAGTGCGTCGCTCAGCGCTCTGGAGAGAACGTGACTTTTATAGGATAAGATAGGGAAGGGGACAACGTGGCGGGAAAATTCGCAGTCGACTTCCCCCGGTCCGCTCTTGGCGGCGCGCCATGACTCCGTCTACAAGACAAGAACAACAGGCAGCAACCAAACCAAGAAAAACGAGAACGAGACCAACGCCCTGGAACCACGAGAAGAGGGCACCCCCCCGCCCGTACTATGTATTCTGATTTCAACACCCGCCAGCGTGTCTACCGTGTACATTTCACCCCGTTATACTGCTACTCTGCGCTGGATGTCAGACACTCACTTGATCTTGGCTGTAGCGTCGGACCACCGTCTACACAGCAAGGATAACGATCAGCGCGCAAGCGCCCATCAATTCCTTTGGGGTGCCTTTTCGCAGCCTCGAAGCACCCTTAAGTCAAACGAAAAAACCGCCCCCCCAACCCATATGTGGAGCTCACCTATCATGACGCACTCCGTTGGTGACAGGAGACGGGCAGAGTCCAGTTTCCCCTGGTGCTTCCATGCGCTAGATACTTCTTGGGTGTGTTTGCAGCGCAAGCTTCAGCGGAACGCGTGGCAAAGCGAGCTGCTCTCCATCCTCATCCTCGGGCCCCAAAGTCGGAGCCCTGCACAAACGCCAACCAAGAAGAAACTCGATAGCGTCGAAGACGCCATTGAGATCGACAAGTGATCTTCTAAAGCATACCATTTGTTCAGACATACATGCACTCTGTGGTTTGAACTGTTTAAACATATGCTGGTTTTGATGGAGAAGGTCTGAGGAGAAGTTGGGCAGGGGACATAGGTCTGCAGATACTTCAATTCCCCAGATACTTCAAAAAACAATGAGTTGCCCGTGCGCGCTTTCGAGACAGGTTGCTGGTGCTGGATGTGCACGTGGTGGAGGAGACAGGGTGCCCATGCATGGTGGAGACAGGGTGTGCTGGCGCGTGGTGGAGACAGCTGCTGGGTGCTGGTAGTGCCCGTGGTGGAGACAAGAGCTGGCAGTAGACTGGGTGCAGGTGCTGGGTGCCGGTGCTGGGTGCTAACTGCACGTGGTGGAGACAGGGTGCCAGGTGCTGGGTGCCGGGGGCCGGTGCTGGGTGCTGGGTACCGGTGCTGGGTGCTGGGTACCGGTGCTGGGTGCTGGTGCCCGCTTCTGACAGTGAAGTGATAACAACCGCCGCTTCTGACAGTGAAGTGCCAGCTGTCATGGGCTGCATGAACTTATGCACGCAACATCATACGGTGTTGTCGCTTGAGCGCTCTTTGTGTATTCAGGTTCTGTTTTGGCCGACAGCTGTGTCAAGGGCTGTACTGTTTGCGCGCACACTTTTGTACGTATAATGTTCTATGCGCAACGTCAGGCTCTCAGCCGACCATTGTTTCAGCGTGTTTCAGAATGCTACACACACAATAATAGTCGCGCTGGATACTGCTTGGCCTATGGGCGAGTGAAGCCTACGGGCTTTGGAGTTTGCGCGCATACTTTTGCGCGTATAAACATATACGCGCAAGATCATACGGCTTCATCGTTCTACAGATCGTTGCTTCAAGCATGCTACAAAATCAATAGTGGCGCTGGATACTGCTTGGTGTTGGGCCAATGACACTTGCGGGCTTTGCTGCTTGCGGGCATACTTTTGTGCGCATAAAGTTATACGTGCAAGGTCGAACGTTGTTATTCCCCAAATAGGGATAGCTATGGGGTTCTTGCTGCAAATACGAATAAGCTGACTGCGTGCGCTTTCGCAAGGGTGTCGGTGCTGTGCACCAGCGGTGTTGTCAGCTGGCAAAGCGCACTGGTGCCGGTGTCAAGCTGCATGTGCGCGCTGTGGAGGTGCCGTAAGCTGGCTGTGCATTCTTGTTCCAGCCAGTCGCATGTCAACAGGTCGTGGGATTCTGCCTAGCTATCTGGGTCTATGCTGATGTAATTTTATATCAATTATGGTTTACATACAGCAGACTGCAGCAGACTACTCACTGTAGACATTCCGTAGACCTTTCACCTGTCCATACCATTTGTTTAGACATACATGCACTCTGTTGCGTTCAAACCGGGCCGTCGTTTAAGCCGGCTGGCCCCTGATGGAGAAGGTCTGAGGAGAAGTTGGGCAGGGGACATAGGTCTGCAGATACTTCAATTCGCCAGATACTTCAAGTAACAATGAGTTGCCCGCGCGCGCTTTCGAGACAGGTTGCTGGTGCTGGGTGCCGGTCCTGGTGCTGGTGCTGTGAGCTGGCTGTGCACGTGGTGGAGACAGGTTGCTGGTGCCAGTGCTGGTGCTGGGTGCCCCGGCGCCGGTGCTGTGAGCTGGCTGTGCGCGCGGTGGAGACAGGTTGCTGGTCCTGGTGCCGGGCGCCGGCGGCGTGGCTGCGCACGTGGTGGAGACAGGTTGCTGGTGCTGGTGCTGGGCGCCGGGTGCCGGTGCTGGTGCTGGCATGGCGGAGACAGGTTGTTGGTGCTGGTGCCGGGTGCTGGTGCTGGTGCTGGGTGCCGGCATGCCGGTGCTGGTGCTTGTGCTGTGAGCTGGCTGTGCACGTGGTGGAGACAGGTTGCTGGTCCTGGTGCCGCCGGTGTGGTGCTGTGAGCTGGCTGCGCACGTGGTGGAGACAGGTTACTGGTGGTCCTGGGCGCCGGGCGCCGGTGCTGGCTGCGCACGTGGTGCAACCAGGTTGGTGGTGGTGGTGCCGGGTGCCGGCGCTGGTGCTGTGAGCTGGCTGTGCACGTGGTGGAGACAGGTTGCCCGGCGGTGCTGGTGCTAGGCACGCGGTGGAGGCAGGTTGCTGGTTCTGGCGCTGGTGCCGCACGCATGCCGGTGCTGGTGTTGGGTGCGGGTGCAGCGCAGATCCCCTGGCGCTGGGGGTGTGGCTTGCATATGTGAGGGGGTCTATTTTGGAATTTTTCTTACTTCAAATAACCCTGCACGCGCTTTCGAGACAGGTCGCCGGTGCTGGTGCTGTGAGCTGGCTGCGCACGGGGTGCTGGTGCGGGCTGTGGTGTGGGTGCTGTGAGCTGGCTGTGCGCGTGGTGAGACCGCGTGGTAGAGACACCAAGGCCGGTGCTGTGGGCTGGCAGTGCGGCTGCGTGAACTTATGCACGCAACATCATGCGGTGTTGTCGCTTGAGCGTTCTTTGTCTATTAGGGCTGTGGGGTATTTACACTCTTCAGGTTCTGTTTTGGCCGACAGCTGTGTCAAGGGCTCTACTGTTTGCGCGCGTGCTTTTCTACGTATAATGTTCTATACGCAACGTCAGGCTGTCAACCGACCATTGTTTCAGCATGTTTCGGCACGCTACATACACAATAGTCGTGCTGGATAGCGCTCGGCCTTGGGCGGGTGAAGCCTACGGGCTTTGCCGTTTGCGCGCGTACTTTTGTGCGTATAAACATATACGCGCAAGATCATACGGCCTTATCATTCTGCAGATCGTTGCTTCAAGCATGCTACAAAGTCAATAGTGGCGCTGGAGACTGCTTGGCCTTGCGCCAATGACACTTACGGGCTTTGCTGTTTGCGCGCATGCGTTTGTGCGCATAAACTTATACGCGCAAGATCATACGTTGTTATTCACCAAATAGGGATAGCTATGGGGTTCTTGCTGCAAATAAGAATGAGCTGGCTGCGCGCGCTTTCGAAAGGGTGTCGGTGCTGGTGCTTGTTGTGGTCCTGGGTGCTGGTGCTGTGAGCTGGCTGAGCGCGCATTTAAGACGAGCGGCGGCGTCGGGTGCTGGCACCGCTGCCGGTGTTGTCAGCTGGCAAAGCGCACCGGTGCTGGTGTCAGCTGATTGTGCGCGCTGTGGAGGTGCCGTAAGCTGGCTGCGCAGGCTGCGTACATTCTTGTTCCAGCCAGTCGCGTGTCAACAGGTCGTGGGATTCTGCCTAGCTATCTGGGTCTATGCTGGTGTTTTTTTAAAGTTCTTTTTTGTACTTGGGCACTTGTCGGCAGACCAGCCAACACACCAAAAACAAAACATACAAAAAATCCGAAGAGGGTCTGGGGAGAGGCTGGACAGGGACATAGGTCTGATTTTTTGTGTTGTTTTTCCATTGTTTTTGATGAACTGTTTTACCATTGCTAATGCTTTCATACCACTACCCTCGCAAAGTGCGCATTTCTACAAGCTTCACCACTCCACATGAATACCCTGTTTGGAAACATAAACAATATTCAACAGCACATTATCGGGAGAACCTGAAGAACGGTCCGAACTACCAGGTCACACACGGGACCAAAACATTGCATGAGTGACATGCGTGCACGACAAGACGGCGACAGGAGTATAGAAGTTCACGCGCACGGCATCGACTTGTGTCAGCTCATGTTGCTGGTGACGAATTGCGTTGCTGCCGCAGCCCCGGAAAGCTGGCTGCACTTCCCTCACAGCACTTTAAAAGTTCAGTATTTTTTTTGTGCGAGCTGCCGTCGCCAACTGAACTTGATTGCTGGCACTGAAATGTCCACAGGCTTTCGCGCACGCACACACACACAACTTGGATTTTGAGATAACCTCTTAGCAAGATGTAGGCCTGGTTGAGGAATTTGTCCACTCATGCGATCTCTTGCATGCCAACTTCAAGCCCCACCGTAGTTCAAAATTTTTGTTGGTGCCAGCAACGCTGATTTTGCAGCGGAAAACGCGGATGCACTGTTTCGTGACAGGAGTGCTACGTCACGTTTACCAGCTTTGACTCAAATAGGCAGCTTGTTCTGAGCCAGCACTTGCTTGGTTTGTGTGTGAGTGCTTTTGCAGGGTGGGCAGTTTGAGCGCAGATCATTTGGGCACACAACTCGATTTTGTAGAAACTGTCCTGCTTAGTGCGAGGGCTCCAGGCATTGATTCACAGATTTGAGGTGGAGTTTTGGCAGCCTTTGGGCTTTCACTCAGTCCAGATCTTTGAAATCCAGCCTGCCTATTTTTCTTAAAATAGTTAGTCACGTGACTGAGTTGCGCTTAGGCCCCGAGGCTGTTGACAACATTCGGCTGAGACGTAACCTCAGAAATTAACCCTTTGCAGCAGGTTTGAGCAACTGTTGCCAAATCAAAATGCTGCAGAGTGAGGCTACGACGTGGACCGCTCCAATCGTTTATGCTTTGACGAGTTTCTTCAGATGTTCTTAGAGGCCTTGCAAACAGCTCGAGCTACTGGGCAACACGGGAATGCCGACTCATCATTAGTTAAATTGATCCGGGAATCAAACGGGTCGATTGTGGCAGTCGTTGCTGTCAGCTTCAGGTGCTCACCCCTCTAGATTCAGGGTAGTGAATTGGGCTTTGAGGGCTTTGATGCGTTTGGTTGGTCATTCGCACCCCTGGGGATTTGCGCTTTCCATGGAGCATTTCTAAGGAGGCAGTGCATCATGATTATTGAGGGGCATGAACCTGAAAGTGTGGCTGTTTCGGGCCAAGATTCTCCTGCACGCGTCAGGCATCAATAGAATCGGTTTTTCTTGTTAGGTGCTGGCATGTGGACAGTTTGTGCAACTCTGTTTAGGATCGAAATGATTGCGGGATCCTCTACAAAAATACAGTTGTTTATATATACGTTCCCTTTTCCGAGGGCCAATGTCCATGTTAGTCAAAGGGTACAACTCAAAAGCAGTAGCTCAGCTAAGAACTATACTGTATATATATATATACGATATATAAAGCTAATTAAAGCTAACGAAAGATGTTGCGCTTGCGCAGCACTCGGCTGAACATGAAAATTATTGGGACATGTGTTCCGTCATTTTTTTGCATGTTGTATAGAGCGTGGGTATATATGTTACATATACACATGCATACACATACAGAGAAAAGGCAACAACTGCCCGCTACGAACGTAGGAGTTAGCCGAAGTACCTTCAAATCTGAAGTCTTAAGTCATAATGCAAAATCTGACGATGCAAAATCCACGAGACCTAGGTCATGAGCCTTGGGATAGAAAAAATAACACAGAAATACAGCCTGCCGAGTGACTAGCGCCTTTTTATTAATGTTTCACAAATGACAGGTTGATAACATAGGAGTTAAGAGGAAAGTTGGAAAACCACATTACACCATGACATGGGAAGGGCTTGAGACAAAAACCCAGAGGCCCAAGACATCATGTAATTAAATGTATATGTGCACATAAACATATAGATGTTTAAGTAAGGAAGTAATTAGCACGACCCGCCAATTGCAGGTTTTGGCGTAGTTTGTTCCAAAGTGGCTTTTGAGTTTCGACGTTGGAAAGCATAGAGACAAATGCGTGGAGATGTCAAAAGGCAAAGGGTAGCAATGGAGGAAAGAGGTTGCCCTTTTTTTTGCAAATGCTCAATTAGAGTTTGGTTGTGGACGACCCGTCTCACTGTGAGATCATTGGGGTCCATCCCAGACTGCTGACCAGAATGGGAATCGTCAGTGGACTCAACTATGGAGGGAAGCCTTGGCTGGGAGGTGGTCAGAAGGCGGTCAGTGTTTGTTGACCTCCACGCCACATTGTCAGTTTTGAGAATTTTGACACATGCCTACTAAGCATCGTGAATGCAAGAATCAGCTGTAAGCATCAGTTTTGGCAGTGGATGTTATTTTGGTGCAAGATAAGAACATGTGAGCATGTACACGTACATGATCGTACATATGTGTGTATATATTTAAAATCATGTGTATAGAGAGAGAGGCACACGTGCGGCATGCACGCATCCATTGCCATGTGTGATTCTCGTGGGAGAAAAACCGCTTTCAGTCTGGGGGTGGGGTGTGCATTCCTGGAGGTGCAGCTGTATGACCAGTGTTTGTGTCTCAGGTTTATGTCATTTTATGTCAGACCAGCCGCCAGCTATGTCATCGAACTGATGCGCTCGCTGAGGCTTCAGCAGCCGTGAACAAAATCCTGCGATTCTCACGCCGCCAGCAGCCCAAGTCCAATTTCTGGTCCGGTGCAATTTTAAACACCAATTCCACTCCTTTTACCACCTGACTGCGGAGCACAGGTTCAACGCAATGAGGCCAGTCCTTGGCTGGTGGCCCAAGCCGGAGACGCCAACGGAATAAAGTAAGACTGGGTATGGCGGCATGAGAGGACGGTGTGACCGGGTCCCGACAGCTAAGTTTCCCAGGACAGTCCTTTGGAACTGCAGGAAGCAACTCTGGATTGGCCGGTTGCTGAGATCTTAGGCACTTGAGATCTCACCTGCCTCAGAAAACGCAACCGAATAATGGAGATACGATGAGGTTGTGCTGGACCGCTCAGCGTTCTTTGCCTTGGCCACCTGTGCTCAGTTTGGAATTGGCTATCGGCGCCAGTTATATACTCAGTTCTCCGAGTGTTTTGGATCACCGCCCCAGAGGTCCCAGAGGCCTGATTACAACAAGAATGCGGTTTCAATCTTTGGGGCGGGGGGTATAGTACACAGTTTGCTTCCCGGTGCCCAAAATTTGGAATTCCACGCTGGAAACTTGGAACCCTGAGGAACAAAGCAATCGTGAAAACCTGGGTCCTGTCACCATGGACCCTGGGTGCTGCGCCGTGGAACCCTCAAACCTTGGAACCCCGGTGTGCTTCGAATGCCGCCTTGGAATCTGCACATGTTACGCGCAGCAAGGTCACAGGCAGTTACCCGTAGCTAGCAGGACGTTTCTGCACCAGCAACAGCTACTATTGCGCTTGTGGTGGTGTGTTTTGCTTACTGCCTCTGTTGCACGGCATTCTGTTTACATGGCACAAGGCACGTTTTACGTGCAGCAAGGCCACAGGCAGTTGCGTGTACCTAGCAGGGCTTTTCGGTGTGCTTGCAGGTTCTGTTTGGAGACTTTAATTCCAGTCAAGTGTTGCTACCCGCTGTTGGTTGGCATTGCTGCTTCTACATCGGTTACTTCCAGACCTGCTGTTTGAAGGCGTTTTGCACGTGTGGAAGGCGCGGTAGCCTTTAGCTCACGAACTGCTACTTCTACAGCGCCACTTCTAGGCATGCAAATTGCGCATGAAGAAGGCCTACAGGCCTTGTAAGCGCATGTGTGACATGGATGTGTTGCACTTCGACATTTGCACTACTTCACAGGTCATCTTGTGCATGTAAGAGTGCACATGTAACATGTATGTTGTTCCTGATCATCTTGCGTGCATAGACCTGCGCATTTTCGCTGGTGATTTTCTGTGTGCGGATTTTCAGGCGTTCTCTCGCATGTGCAGAACTGCCACATGTAAATCTATACTACCCGCGAGCCCGCGAGTGTGTAGAAGATAGATGTACATTTCTCGGCTGGGCTGGGCGGAAAATCGTTGTGAAACATGAGCCTTTGCAGCGACCATGAACGTCACATGCTGAAGTGTGAGCCGAGCTCTTGATGCTTCGCCGCTGGCTTGATCCTCTTTGTGGATCGTGCGTGTCAGATGCAGCGCGGTGGCTGACAACCAGAACTGACACCTTTGTAGTCAAGTGGGGGGAATTGCGTCCGTGATGTGTGTCATGGGGTTTGGCGAGGCCTCTGTGGGAAAGTGCATGTGCTTGTCACCCTGAAAACGGAGAACGGAACTGTCCACGTGTAAAATCCGGCGCGTTGCTGGGCGGTTGGTAATCGCACTTGGCGTGGTTTTGGAATGTTTTGGATGGTTTTGGTATATCGAGCACGTAGCGTGCGATGTGGCCAAATTGCACCCGTCGCATATGTACATGGCGCGCCACTGGTGAGCAGCTCGGTTGGTGGTGTCAATTGGATTTGGTCTGGTCTCGCTTTCTTGCATGAAGCATGTGGCACACAGTGTGGCGAAATTGCGTTTGTGATGTCACTGTGCTCGGTGGCAAGTATGTGTGTCATTTGCGCGCTTTGTGCCTTGGGGAAGCTCGAATCTGGCCATGCGGCGTGCCGCTGGTGAGCAAGATGATTGGTGGTGTCAGTTTGGTGTCACAGTATGTGGTAGACAGCACTGCGTGTGTGATGTCGATGTCGATGTGGCTTTGCGAAAAGCCAGTTCAACCCACCAACCCAACCTGCACAAATCAACCCACACAACTCAACTCATACAGGTCAACGGACGCTGCTCAACTCACAACAGTAATGACTGAACCTAACTCACACCAGCAAATCGCTGCTGTTTGCTGCTCAATAGGGGGCCTGCGTTGATGTGGTTGTTTTTGGTTCGTGGCTGATACGCCGCCCCTGCGCCTGTCACGTACGTTGCAGTTCGGTCACGTACGTTGCGGTTCGGTTGTCGGGTGGACGTGTGTGTGTGTGTGTGTGTCACCCCCTGCACCAAAGGGTTCAATGCCACTAT